AAAAAAAAAAAAGAAGGTCCTCGTTCGATTCGTCCCAATTTCCTATGATCCGCTGGCTCCTAGAATTCCTCGAAGCGCGTCAATTAAGCTGCCGTGTGGATCTCGACCGACCTAGAAACGGTCGTTCACCGCCACCCCATTCAGACAAAGCGATTCAATGAGCACGGCGATAGCACGGGGTAGCACAGCAACCGACGTCGAAAACCGACGAATCCTCGACGTTAACATTAGGACACACTGCATCTCCTTATCCGCGTGGCAGAGGAACATTCACGAGCAGCGATCAAGTCCCGTGTGGAACATTTCGTCCACGCATTGCAGCTGGCCACGACACATTTCCCTCGCGGAACAAAACGCACAACCACTGTCGAAGAAACCTTTTCTTCTTTTCCCTCCTCGGTTTCGTTTCTTCTTCAATCAATGCCCCTGATGACTCGTTCACTGGAATTGGTCAATCGAACAATACGAAGCTTCACGCGGAACACTGGCGCATCGGCCAGCAGGCACCACGTTTTCCACCTCTGGAAAGAAAAGCAAAAAAAAAAGTCGAGGAATAGAATTTCACGCGGCAAAGAGGTGTCACCGTTTTCTCGCGTGTTGCGTGCGCCAGTTTCTCTGCCCCTCTCTCCTTTTCGTTCTATCTCTATCCCTATTTCTATCCTCCCTTGAGGTAAGTGTTTCTCTCTCTCTCTCTCTCTCTCTCTCTCTTGTGCCGAGCAACAGAACCGACAAGAAACGCGAAAACGAGCAGCCGAGGTTCGTCAACGCGAAATCTCGCTGGTCCGCGAGGCACGGCGGAGCGTCGACGAGTCGATGAACGACGAATGAAAAGAGCGAAGGGGAGAGAGAGACAAAGGGGGGAAGAGAGGCGAGAGCGAGAGAAAGAAGGAGGCGTGTTTCGGATGTGACGCTTAAATGTCTGACACGATTGTGAACAGGCACAGGTGGGGACGCCGCTGGGGTTAAGAAAAGGAGAGAGGGCGTCGCGGCGCTCGACGTCTCGCGGTCGATCAATGACTAGTCCGCGAGTT